ATATATATATCGTCACAAACAGAACTGCCCGGTAAACCGTAGGCAGAGAGAGAGAAGAGGACAACAAACGAGGGGCTGTGACAAACTGTTTCGTCGGAGTTTCGTATATAGTAATTTCTTAAAAGATAAAGCGGTCCTCCAGTGACGTCCCCCCCCCCTCCCAAGAAAAAACAGGCATGGAGTTCTGCGCGCGGTGGCTCGCGGGACCGAGGAAAACGAGAGGCGCTGCGGGCCAAGCAGAAGCACAGGGGGGGAAAGGAACAGGCGCCGTGGGGCACGTCAATTCACGGGGGAAGGAAGGCGAGGTGCACAAATGGGTGACATGAGGCGGGGAGAGGAATACAACTGCACAGGCGGAAAAGACAAAAAATATGCAGGTGTATCTTTCCATGTTAGTGGAAAGGTACACCGCCATATTGTTTGTCTTTTCTGCATGTCGGGAGTAGTGGGAGAGGAATACAACTATACAGGCGGAAAAAAAAAAAAAAAATGGCCGTGTATGTGCTAGTGGAAAGATACACCGCCATATTTTTCGTCTTTTCTGCATGTCGGGAGTGGTGGAGTGGGGCTACACCGCCAGATTTTGTCTTTTCTGCATCTCAAGAGTAGTGGAGCGGGTCTGTACTCACCAAATGTGCAAAATTAGGGCCTCAGTCCACTACTCCACATGCACAAAAGACAAAAAAATATGGCAGTGCATATTTCCATGTTCTAGGGGTGGATTCATTCTCAATTTGCACATTTGGTGGTTAGTGGAGCAAAGCCCTTAGACTGAGTCCTCCGCTACAACATGGAAAGATACACCACCATATTTTTTGTCTTTTCTGCATGTGGACAGTAGTGCAGCAACGTCCTTTGGTTGGGCTTTTCCACATGGTGGGGTTTGCCGTTCATGGGCTGTGTTTTTCTTCTTTTTTTTTTCCTGCATTTGGACCATTTCTCTATTTATGCGGGCCATGCTAATCTTCTCTGTATCGTTCCAAATTTTAACGGATGTCCTGAAGAACAGGGCTGTGGTTATAGGATAAGGATGACACAGTCCATCGGACCACACGATACAAAAAAATTGACCAACAAAAAAAAAAAAGATCTGAAAGCGGTTTCTTTTGCTTTTTTTGGGAGGGGAGGGGGGTTGGAGAGTCCGGCTGCATAGGGCACACAATCTTACAAAACTGGCCTGTTCACCGCTGCGGGGTCCACTTGTTTGGTAAAAAGCTGCGGTCTGAAAAAGAAGAAAGAAAAAAAAACAGGCGCCCTTTTCTCCAGAAAATCAAGTGCAAACAGCGTTTCATGCAAGTCAGGCTCAAGTAAAGTCCAGTAACCCATAGTCCTAAGATTATGAAGGTCTTCCAAAGCACAAAGGCCTTTTCTGCAGAAAGGCCCTTTTACCCCCTTTCTTGAGGAGCCCTCAAGAAGGGTGCACGCTTACTTTGTGTGAATGGCACACTGAAAGACCTTTCTTCAAAAGGCGCTTCGGGACACACTTCAAAAATGCTTGCTTCGTACTCGAATGGGACTTGCGTCTGCCGGGAGTCGAACCCGGGTCTTTTGCTTGGAAGGCAAATATCCTAACCGTTGGACTACAGACGCTGGCTGTTTCAGGACCTTGCTGTCACTTACTTGAGAGGTTGACTATTCAGCCAGAACCCTGTTTGAGGAAAACAGCCACCTGATTTGATGATTTAATTTTGTTAACTACCATTTCAAATTCAAACAAGTTCTCCAAACCCATTCTTTCAAGCCTCTCTTTTGGCCGACTGTGAACTGCCAATCCCAGGATGTTTGCAGCAAGAGCCCGACTTTGGTTCTTCACAGGCTCTTAAGGTCATGATCTGTGGTCTGTGTGCCGAGGTCGGCTGACACCGGTTTTTTTCGATTTCTTTTTTTTTTGCAGCTGCTGTGACGCTACTAGACTTGCCTCACAGCCCGCTCATATGCTCATGCTGTCTGCAGAGTGTTGGGCTCACAGGCCGAATACGAACCCAGAACCTCCACTGTCATTTGCTTTTGCTGTTTTTCTGCCCGTGAGATTTCAACTTAGGACCTATCAGTGGAGTCTCCAATAGCCCAGGCTAGGATTAGGCCTTACCCAGATAGTAAAACAGGATGGTTTTTAGCTCAACACAGGCAGAATTTGAACACGGAACGTCCACTGTCATTTGTTTTTGCTGTTTGGCTGCCTGAGAGATTTGAACTTGGGGCCTATCAATAGAGTCTACGTTAGCCCGACTTAGGTTGACACCTTTCCCAGACAGGTAAAACCATATTTTTAGCTCTACGGGCTTCACCCGAACACAACTAACTGGATGTATCCAGGCCATATTTCCGTTCCCATACCGACATGACGAGGGCGTGTTGTATTCGGGAGTAGCCGAGACCATCAAGGACCGGGCCACAATGGATGGATCTTGGTTGTTGAAGCCAGCTTCCTGTCTCTCATCCCTGTCAGCTGGTATGGGCATGAGTGATCTGGCTATGTCCTCGTCTCTCAGAGGTAGGTCAGAAACTGGTTGCAGTGTAAAATCAGGTGGCACTTGTAGAGGGCTGAAGGGGTCTCCTACCTTGTTGCATGTTTGTGCAGGCAACCAATTCCTGGCCCTGATTGGGCCGGGCAATCAGTGCTGGGGTGGCCAGTTTCTCAGTCAGTGTGATGCATACTCAAAAGTGACGCTGGGCCTGTTTCCCAGCACGTGGCGCTCCACAAAACAAATTCCGGCCATCCGGTAGTTCACAAAGCAGCGCAAGAAAAATTGCCCAAAGCAGAGAAGCAGCATCGTGATACAATCAGAAAACAAACAGAAACAGCCCAAGAATGAAGGCAAAGGAAACAGAAATATGTCATTTTGGTAGGAATCACGGAAAGCACTGAGCCAAAGGCAAGCTAAAACATAGTACCTGTGTACCACGGCGAACACGTTCGCCAGCTTTGTGAACACGCGAACATGTTTGCCCATTCGGACATACGTGCATGAATAAGTGGCGAGCGAACAAGTTTCCCCACGGGCATTTCTGGTACATCTGGTCATTTGTGGGGTGTGGAGGGGTTGGGGGGGTGGTCTTGGGGGGGCAA